CTGAGCGTGACTGAGGGTGGCATCACAACCTCCCGATCTGCCCTGCTCTGTGCATGACAGGGGGCGGCGCACCAACTCCCCAATCAGCCCTGCTCTGAGCCTGACCAGGGGCTGCACCTAGGGATTGGGCCTGCCCTCTGCCATGCGGGAGCAGGCCTAAGCCAGCAGGTCGTTATCTCCCGAGGGGTCCCAGACTGTGAGAGGGCACAGGCCAGGCTGAGGGACCCCCCTCCCCCCTGGGGGCACAAATTTTTGTGCACCGGGCCTCTAGTAAATTATAATGGTATCTTAGCATATACCTGAAGCAATATTAAGTACATCAAGACATGAGGTATCTTTAGAAAGTATGTAACTATCCATTATTAAAAATTCATATCCAGAATATTTTCCTTTATTATATAATACATTTATAGCTACACAATGTAAAACGATGATCTACATTATTTAAAATCATGTATTTGGCTCATAATTAACGTAGATTACAATTCACTTGGATGGTGGCTACAGACACACAAAGAATGATTCTGGCTTCTTTTGTGTATGTATAAAAAATATTCGAAAAACCAATATAACTTAACTAGAAATTAAACCAGAGCTAAGTAAAAATTATCCAGCAAAAAAGAATGCTAACATCTCTTGTTTTAAGTTTCAACTGGATAATAATTTTTTAAAAAATCTTTACATAAAAATTCTGATACCACCACCCACAAATCATAAAGTATAACAACAGATAGTATATTTTTTACCTAATCACTTTTTTGACTCACAATAAAAACCTGTTGTTTACAGAAAATAAATTCAATAATTTATCCAAACATTGTTACATAAGAAGTTTTAAGAAACTGTAAATAATTCTTAATACTCTCATTTTGATTCTCCGACTTTTCAAGACTATGTTGTATTTCTTTCAAACATACTTCCTGATGTTGTGTTTTCTAAAAAAAAAAGATAATCAATAATGACATTCATATCAAAGGATAGTCATAATATAACATTTATATATACAATAACTGACTACATGAATTTTAATTTTTTTAAAAGAAAGACTCCTAACCATCTGATGTGTTTGTTAATAACTAATCTTAGAGCTCACTTTTCTTTAAAATAAAGAAAAAGTAAATGGGTGATATTTACTGTGATATATTTTTTGTACTACATATTCTTTTAGCCCCAAATTATTACACATTTAACATGATTAACTTAATAAGTGGGTTTTATTTAAAGCTGTCCTAATTTCTCACATCTAACATGACATTTTAATACTAGTTTTTGCCATTTTCTCTACCTAAAAATTCATATTTTATAACATAAAAATGACTTTTGCTGTCTTAAAAATGGACAGAATTCCAGCTTTGATAATACAAACATTTTATTTTTAGAATCTTTCATAAGTAAAATGAACTCTTAATATTATAGGTATTCTTTATTTAAAGTAAAAATTACAAACATAATAAAGTTTTAAAATATTCAGTGGCATATAAATTTCCAAGATATCATTTAGCTTCCAACTGAAATGTAGACACCTTGACAAGAAAAATCTTTTATCTCCCTCCCATCCGGTGTTCAATAATACCTGACACCTCCTGAAACTGAGCAATGCTCAATGTCCCTCAGGTGAAGTAGGTGGGATGAAGAAATGTGCTAGCCTAGGCTATACAAAATCACAGAATGAATATAATGCATCTTTGTAGAACATCAATGTTACTCAACAATTTAGAGGAAAAAATACTAATACAAACCACATATTGTGAGGCAGAATGCAAAATGTGCATATATTTTAGGATAAGACTCCAAAGTCACTTCAGGCTTCAGGAAGGTTGGCCTGAGTTAAGCTGCTGAAGACACCCTTAAGTCTGTGCACCCACTCTGCCCCCCACTGGAACACTTGGGCAAAAAAAATCTATGAAAGCCTGCTACATGGGCAGGGCACTGTGGTAGACACCAGATACAATCAATTATGAGACAGGCTCTCTGGGTGCTTACGATTCAATTGGAGGCAAGGTTATGTATACAAAATAAATACTGAAATGCCCACTGAAAGGGACAGAATACATAAGCTCCCTTTTTAGCAATGTCTAAATCTATGCTTAGAATTCTAGATTTTTACTACTGTAAAATTTCTCAGGGTTAATAGAGCATCAAATATTAAATCTATTTATTTTGGCAGCTTTAGCCAAGTACTGGGAGCATTAAAACAAAACCCATCTCATCTTAGTGTACTTATTTTTTCAGAAGCTTTAACTATACAAAGGACATGACATATTTACAATATCAGCAATTCTGATGGTGGATAAAAATAAAAATAGAAATAAAGGGAAGGCCTGTGCTAAATTCAAAGTGAAAAATGTTTTGTTCTGATTGAAATTGCCATGGAGCTTTTGATGGCAATAAAATTAAACTAATATTACATGCCAAAAAGTCATTTAACTTTTGAACCTTTCAGGTTTTCAACTCTTTAGACACTTGGGAATGAAAAATTAATTTTCCCAGAGTCTCCAGCTCCTGGAAAAAAATTAAGTATCATTATTTTATATGTCATTTTTAAGCAGACAGTTTTCAAGTAATTTAGTCATGACTAGTGCTAGCTTTCATACTATCTTATGCTGTTTCAGGAATATTTAGGAAAAAACATTAGAAGACTAATTAAACACAGACAATTTCATAATCTCATTTCATGGCTGAGTGGACCAAAGCAGCCATCTCCTATGCAGATATAACAATAGTGAATATTTACTTAATGCCAACCTATAACTTTCTAAGATAGAATATTCATTATTCAAGAAAAGTATCAAAGTCTAACTCATAATAATTAAATTGTGAAATGAAATGAAAAATTCATAACAGAAAGGAAGTAAGTAGAATATCTGTAACTTTCATTAAGCAGCTGTCATGCTCAAATAATGTGTACAGAAAGGACCTAATGACACCTCAGGGGGAAAGGTAACAGAAGCTATCAAGGATGAGGATAATAATTCTTTGGCATAACCCTACATTTTTAATTTGTGTGATTTATAGTTATTTGTAATAGTATCAATAAAGAAATGGCCCTGATTTCCCTCACTTTGTACTTTAACTGTTTAAGCAAACTAACATGGTAAGAATGTTAAATGCCAATTTATTTTTTATGAAAATACATAAGCTATACTAATACTTACACTGTTTATTTTGCAAACAAGTTGATTTTGTTCTTCATTTTTCTTTCTAAGTTCAGTTTCCAGATCTAATATTTTAATTTGTAAGGCCCTCTCTCTAGATGACATTTTCTCTATTTCTTCAGAAACCTGTAATTTTCATTAAAAAAGTAAAGTAACTAAATGTACTTTCTTTAAAGTATAAAGCCTTGACATAGTTACATTATACCTCTTTTTTCCAAGTAGATTATTAATTGGATGATAGACAATTTAATTAGAAAGTGTTTAAAGTTGTTGTATGTTAAGGAACACATGTAGCATAGTATCTGAAAAATGGCTTAAGATACAAGAGGTATATGCATTTGCACTATTCTGTAACTTCAGTACGTTTTCTCCCCAATACCATATTTTTATATCTTACTGAGACCAATCTCCGCTTTACAGTATTTATATTCACCGTGGTGTCTAGACTGGTGCTAGAATCTAGGAAGTTCTCATTAAATGCTTAGATGGATAGAATTGGGGGACGGCAGGTGATATATACACTTCATACACAACAAAAGAGATTGAGCTTTCATTCATTCACTTTCCAAGTGGTCTGAATTTGAGTTCTCACATTTCTCTGACTTATTTAGTGGAAAGTCTCACTTAGCTATGTTCTTCCAAGGATTCAGATATGTGGGAGCCTATTTGCAAAAAGGTAGGGTTGGAGCCACAATAATGCGAGTGGAGGCAGGGACTATATAAGGAGCAAGGAACCAGTGGGAAGAACTATCCTCTAATCTAATTCCTATGGACTAAGTTCTAAGTTATTGTAAAGTGATTTACCAAGATGTCTTGTGCACAAATTCTGAGGGCAACTGTGACTGAGGCGTGCTGGCAGTTATGGGAGAAAGCTGTGGGAGAAAGAGCCCTCAGAACAAATATCCATGTCCGTGACCATGTCCCGCAGTGTGGACAATGGTGACAGTGCAGTGACAGCATGCCTCATGAAGCAGGAACTAGAGACAGCCCCACAGTCCACTGCAGCGGAGGGAAAGGAAAGGGCACACGCATCTCCGGGGACTCTGAACACTATGAGTAGGAATCTGAGGTCGTTAGCATTTCCAAAGTCCACTTAGGCTGAACCCAAGATAAAGTCACTTCTTGTTTTCCTCCTACAGGTTGGTGGCGCTGAGAAACCTGGGTTACAATTCTACCAATGGCAGTACATTTTATTACTTAGCTTTTATTCAATGATGTGTCCTTCAATATCCATTTAAATTGGTTTCCCAGAGTTAAAAAAAAAGTATATGACACTTGAGATACAAGAGTCACATATCAAGGATATTGGATTTTATCTGACTCTTGTGGAACTACCACTAACACACTTTGGAAAGACCATGGGTGGAAGAGAGTTTAGAGGGAATGATTCAGAATCCAGTGTTGGACAGGTTCAGTTTGAGATGCCTCTGTTAAGTGGAGATATCAAATAAGTAGAATGTCTGAGTCTAGATTTCAGGGGACAAAGAAGTCTAGAGTAGAGAGAGATATCTGAGAATCATCAAAGTATAGATCAGTGGTTGACAAACTGCGGCCCCTTGAGTGTGGCTCTTCCACAAAATACAACGTGCGGGCGTGCATGTACAGTGCGATTGAAACTTCGTGGCCACACTCAAGGGGCCAAAGAGCCGCATGTGGCTTTCGAGCCGCAGTTTGCCAACCACTGGTATAGATGATCTCTTTTTAGCATCATGCAATCCTAGGAGGAAACTCATGACCACCATTTTTTCAATTAGGAAACTAAAGTTTAGGCAAGTACTTGTCCTGGGTCAGGGTATAATACACCAGAGACAGAATTCAAATGCTGTTCCTGACGAACACCAGAGCCCACCTCACGTCTTTTCAAACCATTTCGTAAATTTACCTCTTCTTTGAGATCTTCCTGAATCATTTCTCCTCGCCCTCAGGTTGAACTACCTTGTACCCTCCCCCTCTACTGTAGCACCTACATGCTGGATGGCATGTTTGTTCACCTGTCATCTCCCTCCTGGACTATGAATGTCCTGAGAGCTAAAGCCAGGTCTTATCCATCTTTGCATCTCAGGACTAGTAGAGACACACAGTGAGATACTTATTAAATGCTAACCAAATGAATTTAACTAGAATTTAATTCTTGCATGTATTTATGAATGCAACAATGTTTGCCCAAAGAAAAGGGAGTTGAGCTTTACCGCTCACTAGATCCTGATCGAAAACAAAATGTTCAATAATTTGCACATATGTTCTGGTTTTATTTTATTTATTTATTTATTTATTTTTTAATGGGAGGGTAAAGGTGAGAGGAGGAGAATACTCCTTCAAAGTGTTTTCCATCGCTGCCCTTTACCCTGCCACATCATCATGATCTGGTAAAGAAACTCTGGTCCAGTAAGATATCTGTTTAGCTCCAAAAGGCAAAAGTAGGTAAAAAACAAAAATGTAATTGCTCTCTTCACCCTGTCATTAGGATAAAAACAATAACTAAATGTAGGTTTGGCAAGATGAGATATTGTCTGTTTAAAGAGGACTCTTTGGTAAACTAATTAAAAAGTTTCTAAATAAAGGCCATCTGTACCTTTCGTCTTCCTTCTTCTAAAGCAGCTTCCAGCTGTCTAGCCAATGCTGTATATTCTGCAGACTTCTCTTTAAACTTAAGATTGCTGTGCTTAAGGCATTCTTCTTGGTTTTCCAGCTTCTTTTCAAGCTCTTTATTTTCTGCATCCATCTGTTCTAATTTTCTTTTTACAGAAAACATATATTTTAAAATTACAGTGTATAGAGAAAAATGCAACACCAATTATAAGTCAATTTAGTACTTACTGTTTAAGGTTTTCACACTTCAACTGAATAAGATAATTTTCCTCTTCCAGAGAAAGCTCTGTCAGAAGATTTTGATTTCCATCAAACTAAAAGAGAAAAATTTTTTCTTGGTTATTTTCTTTATAATAAATTTCTAAAGAAAATATTATTATTACTCCTACACAGAGAGACACCAAGAAATATCACATTGGTTAAGTTTATAAAGCTATGCTACCTTATAAAAAATCATCTACTACAAATTTTTCTGAAAGATGGCTAGTAAAACATTCTGAAAAAAACGTTTCATTGCAAAAGGTCATTTATTTTATTAAGTCAGTGTGAAGATTTTAAAAACTGTCGAATACTTAGAGTTACTCTTATAATTTTTGTTTCACTTAAATAGTGATTGATAATTGAATATCTGTGAACTATGAATAAAAAACATATTTGTGAAAAGCAAATTAAATTAACAAGGAAATCAATGAAAATACACTTGCCTACACCAAGACAGAATGTTCTTCCCAATGCTTAAAAAAGCTGTAAATTGTTTCAGAAGCTTTGAAATAAATAAAAAAATTTTCATAATTTCAATTAGTAACTTAGGTTATCTACGTAATTTGACATTTTCTTAGAAATCTCTTATCAGGAATTTAAATTCAGCAACGTTTTGTTTGCATGTTTTTAAAAACAGGATGCACTTCAAAATTAAAATCCAAACTACATTTGGAAGATAGGGAATCATTCCTAAAATTGTTTTGCAAATACGGAAAAATACTACCATCCTTGGACATGCTTCTTTGAAAAAAAAGTACTTAATTAAAAAATATATTTATTAAGTGCTTACTATATGTGCTAGGCATTGACTTAGAAGATGGCTATGTGGTGCTAACAGGGCATCCTTGATCCCTGCTCTAATGAAGTGAAAAAGTATGTCCAAAAAAATTGGAAATAATCCAAGTAAACTTGATGTGCAATTCTGATTAAATACACTCTAATTTTTGTGAGATAAATGACAATAATTAACCTTATCCTGACATCAAAAAATATATATGTACTAGTAAACATAGCATTGCTCCTTCTCTTATGCTATTACCATGTCCTCAAATATCTAAATATAGATTTATATGAATAAACCAAACAAGCAATTAATTCTGTTTACAAATTTTTTTACTATAAAATACTAGCAGAATAGCTTGCAAAATAATAGTACTGTATCTGCATAAACTGGTATTTTATCAACTGACATAGATGGGAGTAAAATAAATCAATCCCTGACATGAGTGCCCTCAATTGGGGAAAGCATTCGTAAGCGCTTCTTTAACACAGGTAGCAAAGTGAGAATGACGGCTGGACACCTGGCCCTGAAGCTCCCTAATGGTGTGCGCCTGGTCCGCACACGTCTCCTTGTAGTGCTCCAGACTCTCCTGACACTCCTGAAGCCTCCATTCCGCCGCCGTCAGGGAATCGCGGGTGTGCTCTAACTCCTTCAGATGAGACTCCATCTGGCCTCTCATCTGAGGTGCGGCATTAGGGAAATAAGTGTAAGATCACACAGCATTACTGCTTTCACTACCTTAAATACTAGATACGCTGATAACGTAATATGTATTTTAGGAATAATGGTTTTAAACAAAAAGATTCCATCAAATAAATGTGAATTAACATTAAGTTAGACTCTGCTAAGTAAGAACATATAACTCAAAAGTGGGTTATACTTTAGTTTTCAAAAAGTTTGTTGAATAAATGAATATAGTAATATTAGTGTGGAGGGAGAATGTTTAACCTCCTTAGGAAAAGAAACTTTTGAATCCTGTCATTTATGTACTGATAAAGCTGGCATGGTAGCTTTCTAGCCCTCAATCTAAAGTAACTGTCACTTTTTGTCGTTCCATCTTCTAATTCAGATATTTCAATTACAGCAGCCTTGCTGCATTCATCTTAGTCCAAATCGGTGGGCTTTACTGTGTATTATTTTAAGATAGCTAATATCATCAGTCCTCAGTAGACTATTTGATCATTAATGGTACTATGAAGTAAATCTCTCTAATTTTGTCTATGTTAATCTCTTTGGCTACTGCAGTTCCTTACAGTAGCACTTTTGTAGAGTTATGACAAGAAGCAACCCTAAGATATGCTTGTACTGTTAATTAAGAAAAAAATAACCATTTAGGATGTTCATAGGGAGGAAAAGCAAGCACCACCTCTTTCCCTGACACAGGGACCACCTAGAGCTACTATGCAACATCTGGCATTCTTAATTACAAAAGGTAAAACTAGAACAAAGCACACCTCCCAAACATCTAAGAGCCCATGAGAAAACCAGGAGACTTAAAACAGTGGAAAAATAAAAGGAAGAATTTCACTTAAAAACGAAGAATTTTCTGGTTTAATACAAATAAGAAATCACTGTGACCTCACAGTATCTGAAAAACTCAGCTCCTGCTCCATCTGCCTTTTGAACAGGGTTTGTAAATGGGCTTTTATTTACAGTGCTGCCTAGCAAAACAGAAGACAGTTGCATTGGTAAGTCTCAGGAGAAAAGGAGACCAAGATAGATGAAATTATTTTTTCTCTAAGGTGCTAAAAATAGGAAGAGTAACTCTAGGAAAGTAGTAAACTGCACATTTGGTGGGTTATCTATCTCTGTCTAAACAGCAGAATGTCTGCGCTGGCTCAACTCTCACACTGATTCCTCACTTGAACTTCTCAGTCCCAACATATGGAGAAAATCCAGAAACAGAGACCATGTTACACTCAGTTGGAACTGAACAGTAACATCCCATGACCTCTCAGCCAGGAGCTAGCGTCCCATGGCTTTCACTGCTGCTTTACTAAAAAACTTAAAAAGACCCAAAAAGGGATGTGGTTTCATTTAAAAATTTAAAAATATTCACAAAAACATCATAACTTGCCAACATTGGCCTTCCTCTCATTCTGTTGCAATAGGGTGAAAAAAAGGAAATGATGTGGGGTTTTTTTCTATGATATCATTTTTCTTCCAACAAAGCATTTGGCAGAGAATATTTACTTTGCTTTTTTAGACACAAAAGATTTACTGTCAGAAAAACAGGTGAGATTAAAAATAAGAGGTACTCAAGTTTGCATACTTATGGTTGATGAAGCTCAGTGATAACCATTTATTTAGCTATTTAAGTCTCCCGTTGAGTAAAAATAATTAAATGTTTATGTGATCTTCCAAATATTAAAGAAAAAGTGAAAAAACATTCATAAAAACAAACACCATTTCAAGCCTGGAAGAAACATTATTTCCTCAGAAAGTAAACTCCTACAGAGACTGAGAACAGATAATTCCTAGGTCTAAAATAGAGAAAATAACCACAGTGAAAGATATTTGTATAATATTTATAAAGTCTAAAACATAAATATTACTTTATTATTTAAAATGTCAAACTTACCTTCTCTAATTTTTTATTTTTGTTTTTTGTTATAAGGTTATTTTCACTTAGCAAATTTTCACATCTGCTTTTCGCCATTTCAGCTGCTTCTTGCAATTTTTGTACCTGATAATAGAATATTATTAGAGTAACATCTATTATTTTATTATTAGAGCCATAATATGAAATTAAAAGCTAAAAGTTTGAAATTTCAATTTTAAACAAATCATTATTTCCCTGTTAATATCTCAGTAGGTTTATCTAATGTTACTCCTTCTTTAAATATAGGAATCACTCAGTGCTCTCCTCTAATTCACAATCCTTTTATGATTTACCCGTCTTTTCCCATCAATACTTCTAGACTCTTCACTTGAGCTCTGAATATTAGAGAGATCTTCACTTGCAGGCCAATGTCACTTTAAAGAACCAGCCTCTGGTTCAAACTAGCTCCCATACCAATTATTTTACCCTCCAAATCAAAAACCTGCTAAAAACAATAGCTGACTGAGCACTTTGTGCAAGGCCCAGAGCCTAGAGTAAGGTAACTCACCCATGATATTCCTACAAAGGAATTAAACCCAAACAACCAGTTGGGATGGCATTCTTAGTAACATGTGCCATCAACCATCATAGGCTCCATTTCTACCTCTGGCTTGGATGACTCACTGGATATCTCAACTCCATTTTCCCATCTAAGCCATCCAGATGCAGCCCCTTCCTACTTACCTACACTATGCCCCCCTTAAGCTTTTATTTTTAGCTCATTACTCTTTAATTCAAATGTTCTCTTCCCATAAAATCAAACTCTTTATTGACTATTGTTACCCATTATTCACAGACCTGCATAAATCCCATCTTTCTCATGAAGTTTTTCTGAATACCACATTTCCCAAACCTACGATTTTCTGTAATTTACGATTCAGCACATGCTCTACTCCATATATATTGTCATATGTACTTTTCAGGCATTTCACAGGAGTAAGTCTGAACGAAACTTTGTTTATTGGGAAAAAGGGAGTCTTGGGCTTTAATGACCCTAGAAAGGAGTCATATTCCAAATCAATACCATTAAATATACAAGATGACAAATATAAACAAGATTAACAAGATTATACATGAGGTTTACATTACATCTACGTAATTAATTTTAGATCTACTTTTAAGAATATCCAACACATACATAGACAATGAATGTTTAAATCAGGAATCAGCAAAGTCATCTATTAATACAAATATTTGGGACCTTAAGAAACACTTGGGACATGTCATGTTCTATCACAAACAATAGCTCCTCCTTTCTTCAGTTCTGTTTATGTAGATCATAAACAAATGCAGTGCTTTAAATTGTCTACCCACAAACATTAAAATAATTGCAGTGGTCACCTGAGTTTTATACATTTCAATAAGGTTTTTCTGTTGTTTTTCTACTTCTTGCAATTCTGAGAGTTCATTTTCAACGGAAACAACCTCGTCCTTCAAAGCAGCAAATGAAGTCTAACAAGAAATATATAAATAGGAATTATAAATTATTAAAATTAATTTGTCCTCCAATGCTATAGGATTATAAAAACATAACTCATTTATCAACGAAGTTAATAAAATAATTATTTTTGATTGAATATAATTACCATCTAAAAATTCATAAGTTTATAAAAGTTAGTAAAACTTATAAACAACTTTAAAAGATTTTTGCAAGACATATTTTTAAAACTTTTAAAATTTACTGACAAAAAAGACTTGGAAAATAGACCAGGTTCCTAGATGGGAAGACGCATACCAGTTTTTTCCAAATCAATAAAACTTTAATGCAATTTCAAACAAAAGTATAACAATTGGGAGAAGGGAAATATGACAAAATTAATTTAAAATTCATATAGAAAAATAAATAGGAAAGACTAATGAAATTTTGAAAGAAATACTAAACGGAAAAATCTCAGTACTTATTAGATATTAAAATATATAAAGAACTAATATTAAGATGCTAAATAAGAAATATAGAGGTTGATTGAACAGAAAAATGCACTAAAATTATATTTAGTATATGACAAAAATTGGATTTTTAAATCAATGGGGAAAATATGGATCAGTAAATAACAGTAGTATATAATTGTTTAACTATTAGAATAGATTACTTACCTCCATGCAATACTATTTATTTTATTTTTTTTCCCCAACACTATTTTTTATATGTACTAAAAATAAAAAACTGCACTGGCCAGTATGGCTCAGTTAGTTGGAACACTGACCCATAAACCGAAATGTTTAGGGTTCGATCTTTGGTCAGGGCACATATCCAGGTTGCAGGTTCCTCCCAGTTGAGGCTTGTGCAAGAGGTAACGTATCAGTGTTTTTCACATCGATGTTTCTCTCTCTCTCTCTCTCTCTCTCTCTCTCTCTCTCTCTCTCAAATCAATAAAAACATATCCTTGAGAAACCAAGATGGAGGCATAAGTAAACACCGGAAATTGCTGCCTCACACAACCACTTCAAAAATACAACTAAAAGACAAAACGGACATCATCCAGAACCACAGGAAGG